CTGTCCTGCGCAGCTTTGATTCGAGAATCGGAATGCCACTAGAAGGGAATTAGACGAGAAATTTTGGATATGGGCTCTGAAACGAAAACGGCAAACGTATTGTTAAGCTTTCTCCGTCGCACGACTCTTCCATGAAAATTCATCTTTATGTAGAAAGAACATCGGCGCTGGACGTAAAAATTGTCCGAAGCTACGACTCATGCGGAGATCGACCACTTCTTCACCAACCCGAGGCAGGACTTATTGTCTCAATGGTTCCAACCCTGAACTATTAAGACATTAAGTGGCTCCAATTGGCGAGCTAAAGTACGAATTAGTAAAAAATTGAAATGAAGATGGGCCATACGTCATGAGAAAAGGAAGGTTACTGCGGTGACCGAGGAGGAGCTCATATCAAGTTGTGACTGGCCGAGTAGGACCCAACGTACCACTACGATCTGGTTCTGAAAGGGATTGCGAAGCTGTGAAAAATGTGTCTCAGTGTGCGTGATAAGTACTTGGAGCGCTCGAAAATTACCACGGATTGCTTGACAGACGAAAAACTTTGTGGTAGGATTTGAATACAAGACTACCCTTCTGTCAAACTTCTGCTAGCCGCAGGAAGTCTACACGAGGTTCCGCGCCGCATCTAACGTCTTATCTTCAGAATGAAAGGATTTTTGAGCAATGGAGATCAGGGACCGTCCTTCTCTTCAAGAAGGGGAGGGAAGATTTCAGGAACTAGCAACAACATGCCTGCTGTGCGTGCTGTAAGAGGCTGCATATCAAGGACAGTGGATGAAGCCCAACCCCAAGAACAAGCTATAGTAGACGTCATTCGTCTAGTCATCTCGGTGCGATGGTGTTATTACACAAATTTGAAATCTTGGGTGAGGCGCTGGGGTCGCTTACACCAAGTGCACAGCACGGCTAAAATTTGACCCCATACTGCTTATTTTCCGTATTTTGATGTTTTTTTGCTCTTAGCTTTACGCATGGTCTAGCTCTCGATAACATGTTGTCTTTATACGCCATGCATGCCGTTCCAGATCAAGTATCCCAAAATTTATCACTTTTATTTTCAGGAGGAGGCAGAAGATTGGCAAACTTGCAAGCTTTTAAAGTAGGTTTGCTTTTAGAAAGAGTAGGGTATCTGTTAGGCAGTACGAGTTTCAACTTTCTTCGATCTATACTCAGCATTAAAAACCACAGTTTTCAATATTAATGAGAAGGAAGTGAAAGTAATACTGCTCAAAAGATAGTCTGCTCCTTCTACATACGACACTACTGGCGAAAGCAGACTTACTTCAATTTTGCAAGTTTGCCCATCTGCCTCTTCCTGAAAGTAAAATAAGTTTTGAGATATTCGATCTGAAACGGCATGCATGGCATTTTAGAACGACAAATAACTGAAAACTAGACCATGTGTGAAGCTAAAAACAGAATAAAGCATGAAAATATGAAAAACAGACAGTTTGGCGTTAAATTTTAGCCGTACTGTACACTTGGTGTAAGCACGGTACGGCGGGACTTCAGCGCCTCATCCAGGATTCAAAATTTTTGTGCAGTAACACACATCGCACCGAGGTGACTAGATGGATGACGTCTACTATATTACAGATTTCAGGATTCTAGTATTCAGCTGCATGGATCACATCCAGACGGATTCGAGGGGCGTAGAAGGAGGCATGTTGGACGCTAATGTCTAAAATGCCGGAATCAACTGTCTCACGTCGTAACCTCCGTTGATGATGCAGCTATTCCATCAACCCCTCATCATAAGGTGGTCCGACAAGGCGACACAATTTTGCCAAAGCTATTCACTGCGGCCTTGTGATATTTCACGCGTCACTGAACTAGGACGAAAGAGGCGTACAAGATGATGGGCATTCCCCTTTGATCTTCATTTTGCGGGCGACATCTTCTCTTCTCGAAAAACATTGGCGGAGGCGATGCTGAAGGATCAAGGAAGTAGAGGAGAAGATCGGGCTATGAATCGGTAGAAGACTAGTTTATGGGAAACCTCTTTTGCAGACGTTCGGTCAACATGGAAAACGATTTGAGAGAAGAACTAAATAGGAGAAGAAGAGCAGCCAGAGCCGCCTCCGCGCTTCTAAGGATAGCCACCGACGAATTGAAGTAGCGGAACTAGCGTCCACCTGTTTGACTCGACCGTTGCCTTGGCGCTCTGCTAAAACTGGGCCAACACTACAGTCATGGAAAGCTCAGTGGACTAAGAGAGCGCTTGAGTGCAGTCTTCTGAGAAATGGCCGGCATAAGCAACATCTCTCGAGACTTTGCATATGGGCAGACCACAGATGGGCAGATGTGGAACTTATGGACGCTGAAAAATCAGCTGGTTTCGAATTCTGTATTTGGGATTTTCGAGCGCAGTCCCCAGCGACCACCAAGAAGATCGTGGATGTTAGAAGCGAGTGGCATAGATCAACGGCAACTTGCTATGGCTTGCAGCTGCGTGAGGACAGGCCGTCTGAGCATCCACAGGCTGTTGCATGAAAGGCGCAATATCTTTGGATGCGAATGCCGCTTTATCAACTGAGCGCATGAGGCGCAGGATTTACATCGGTGAAGATACGCGCGCGTGGCATTCGCGCCTACTTAACTGATACTGCTTCTGCGCCTTCATCATCGCCTTCGTTAAGTAGCCTTTGAGTAAGTAAAGTCAGGGAATTTCTAAGCTACATCAGCAACTACTGTCATCTCACCGGACATGATATGAAGTTTGGAAAACAGAAGAAACTAGTGGAAACAAGTTGATTTTTCCTGAATGATTTGTTGTCAGATCAAAGCAAACAATTCAGAACACCTCTCTGAAAAGCCGTGTAAAAGTGCAAATTATTCTCAGGTAATGAAACCAATTCATAAAATAACTCAACCTTTCTGCACGGCTGTTAGTTAGTTGTTAACCTATAGAATGTAACCGTCAAAAATTTATCTGCCAGTCACGAGGGATCTACGATAATCCTTCAATTTTGGAAGTCTGGTTGGGTATAGTTTAGCATCCGAATCAATATTTGAACACCATCATTAGAGCTATAACCAAGACTAAACTACCTACAAAAAGTCTGTTAGTGGACACATCTGAGTGCTATGTAGTAGTCAAAGCCAAGCTGCTGATTTCAAAATGTATTCCTTATCCGCAGGATACTTTCCGGAAACTCACAAGTTTGACCATGTTATCTCATTATCGTTCATGGGCACTGCAGCACATGCTATAATGCAAAACGCAGCGTGAGTCTGGAGTCAGGATACCTCCGCAGCCAGCATCGCGCTTTATTACTCAACAAAAATCCCGCAGATACGGCGCCAGGTAGAAGAAATGGCATTTGATACTACGCTCATTCAGATAATCGCAAGAAACTTCTGGGGAACAGCGGCTATCTCTAGCATTTCCGGGACACGTTCTTAACCACTGGAGATTCCGCGTGGGCGAGGCGACGAAGCACTCCGCTCGCGGTGATGTCACAAAAGCCGAGACACGTGCTTCAAAGGCAAGTGTCCCGGAAGTGCTAAAAATTTGCGAGTTCACCAGGGATTTCTAAGCGTACAGCACCTCCAGGGCACAATTAGTACGCAGCAATTCAGCCGTTCACTGACACGCAGCTCGCGCTAATTCCAAATTTATGCTTTTAGTGCCGCGCAATGTTCTGTAATTGGTAGCTGTGTGACTCGTACTGCTGGTTTCCGCTTGGTGGCTTCTACGTGAAAAGATGCGGATTTGCTCTGTCAAGTGAGCTAGCGATAGTTTGACCTTCAAGTGCCTTTCAAGGGAATTGAAAGAGTTGAAGGTCCATCTAGAAAGGGTGATTTATCGTGTAGTACACTAATTATTTGCCGTTATGTGTTTAGGTTTTCGTCGATCTTTCTTTCTCAACTGTCTCACAAGGAATGCCTCTGCACTCCAAGAAAAATGACCTCTCCTCGGTTCAGTTCCCCAGCCTCCGACCTCGACTCATTTTATTTTCGCTCTCTTCCTCCTCTGAGTTGTTTGTTCATTTCTGCCTCATAACTTCTGTGTCCCCCTTCATTGCCTTTTCTGATTATTCCCTGTTGTATTTGTAGTTATGACACGGATTTCTTAAATGTGAAATTTTTTTGTCTTATCCCATTTAGATCTCTTTCAACCTTTTTCTCATTGCAAACGCTTCTGTTATCATCGTGCTTTTTTTCATCTCAATTTTTTTAATTGTTGGATTAGCTTCGGTATGAAAATTAGAACAAGTAGGTGTATGTGCCTACTTGTTCATGTTTCCTCGTACTCACCCTAAGTCACTTATTTAGATTGTTTGCTTCAAAACTGTAGTTTTGTATTTGCATGTGTTCCCTCGTAATTGAAGTGCGGCTCCAATATCGTCATAAAGGAAAAAAATGAATAGCAATATATCTAAAGGGTACTGCATGACGAAGGCGCAATATTTTTCCGCGCGAACGCGGTTTTATTAGCCGCAGAGCGCATGGCGCGCAGGATTTACAACGGTGAAGTTAGGCGCGCATCGCGTTTGCGCCCGCTCAACTAACACTGCTTGTGCGCCTTCATCATGCAGCAGCCTTTAGTAGTGTTCACTTTTTTCAAAAAAAACTAGCTTAGAGTTAGGATTAGTTTCAGGGGTACTTTGGGTGGGGTTAAGAAGCCAAAATTGGGCTTCGTAGCTCATTTAGTGGTAGTTACCAAGTGAAAAAAATGCATGGTTTCCGGGACGAAATAAGGTTTCGGAGATTTCCTGTGCGCACTCGGTAGGTTCCGGGACACGAGTTCTGTATCGTCGCTGGGGAGACCCCGGCCTTTACCGAATCGGTCCCTTGGAGGATGCGGTCCCTTGTTTGATCAGCGACATAGTTACATCCTATTGCAAATGGTCACTTCGACTAAGCGCTTCTCTCATTAAATGTGACTGCAAATCATGACTGCCCTCGTGGTATGTTTATGAAAATGAAAAGTTGATAATCGCGTTGAGGTCGGGTTAAGCGAAATTTAGGAAAGTGCCTCATTCTTCTAGGGTGGTCTGTCCTGCGCGGTATGCTCGATACTGATGCACAATCGATGTTGACGTTCTTAACATTACTCGCTTTCTTCTGGATTCAAATAGCATTCTGCGGAAAGAAGAAGGTGAGCGTGCTTATCGACGTTTGTGTATCAGATGCGTCTGTTAGGAGATGTAGCATCTATTGAAATAATGATAAGAACCCTGTAAAAGTCATTCTTCGTTTTGTTTCGTCAAGTCAGCTTCTAAGCACGAAGCAGTAGAATCATAAAACTTACTATTAGCTTCATCTGCATCGCACGCAACTGATATCACTGAAGCTTTTTGAAAGAATTTCACGCGGTTAGAAAACCAGTTTTGACTTGTTTGATGGTAGCGGACGCTAAGATGGCTGATGAAGTTTGTTAAGCAAAGAAACGCGTGGGGGACTTTCAGAAAGCCGTCGCCTCGAAAACTATGAATTGTTGTGCGATAAGTCAGTCATATTATAGGAAGCCGAAGGTTAGTTCGCCATCGTCTTTGTTTTCTCCTGTCATGTATCACATGTCGACCTGGCCAGTGATACTTTCGATAAAAGAAGCACATTCCTTGAGGATTTGTTCTGTGGTGGCCTGATGATCATGAGATATGTAATACATTTCAGATGAAGATAAAGAAGAGGGTGAGAGTAAAAAAAGCAAAAAACATAAATCTAAAAAATCGTCTAAGAAGAAACACAAAGTAGGCTTTCATTCTTCGTACCTATGCTTACTGAAAGTGAAATCGGTAGTTTTTGCGGGTGCGGGCCGATTCGCACGACACGTCACGGAAGTTAAATGCAAATCGCTGTCCGCGACACATTCCTTTTGCTAGAACGAGCAGAAAGCAATCCGATGCAATGTGTTGAAACATGCTGCACGATGTCGTGCGAAAAGGGCGTCCCTCGCTTGTTGCGAGATGACGATCGCATAAAACACATGCGACTAGCTATGACCATGGATTGTAAGCATCGCCAAGTATTTGGAGCTGTTTGTTTTGACATCTATTAATATACAGGGTGTCCCAAAAAATGTTAACACTGTTTGATCGTAAATAACTCCCTTGATTTCAAGTCTTTCGCCGAGCTTTAGGTACCATTTTGTAGAGCGAGGATAAGCTTAGATATGCAGTATCGAGCGAATCATGTAACGCTCCTCATTACTGTAGAATTACGGTAGGAGATTTGACAAGGATTTTAGGCCATTGAAACCCATTTTCTGCTTCGGAACAGAGCCAAGCAAGCCAAAATCTCTTGTACTATGATAATGGACGCAGCTGATTTCGGATATGTAATTTTCACTTCATTACGATACTTCTTTTCGAAGTTATCCTAGGTAAAGTGTAATAACTGACTTCCCAGCATGTGTTAAAAATGTGATTACACCGTTAAAAAAGCTGAAAACACTCGTGAAAAGTTTCGTAGTAAAATCAGCGTGCGCGAAAACCCTAGTACACGAATTTTCAGTTTTTTTTTTGAAAAAAATGTTGTCAGAGGGCATATTTCACGACGGTTCCACATGCTGGAATTTCCTACCGTAATTCTACAGTAACGAGGAGCGTTAGATGATTCGCTCGGTACTGTTCTAATCTAAGTTACTAATCTAAGTTTATCCTCGCTCTACAAAATGGTACCTAAAGCTCGGCGAAAGACTTGGAAGCAAGGGAGTTATTAACGATCAAACAGTGTTAACATTTTTTTGGGACACCCTGTATATAACTCAAAAACTGTAACTTCGTTTGTTAGGATGTTTGTGGCTTATAGATCCTTCGTAAGTGAACCGAAAAGCTGAAATTCTCTCTTCCAAATAAGCCACGACGCAAAAGATAAGCTACTTTTTGAGACGATTCGCTGGGTCCTTCTATCGAATCATTGATTTGTTTACTTAGACCTAAGAAAATGAAAGCTTATCGATCTATTGAATCATTCCCCAAGTAAAGTAGAAGGGGGCGATAAAGACCATTTACGCTTCGCAGCGAGGGCGATGCGGTTTCAAGAAAAGATGCGACCAAGGAGGAAGACAACAACAACGGGTTCTACGCGTTGCAGTGCAAACCACGAGCAGGAGCAAAACGGAAGAAGGGAAAGAGGCTACAAGTATTAAGAATGAAGCGAAAGAGACGAACTACGAGTTACAAAACGCTTTGGTAATCATGCTGGGCCGGTTTACCACTGTCCGGGCTGGGCCGGAGACTTCGCCTAGTTACAAATACCCTTAGGGATCGTTCAGAGTTTGCCATTGTTGCCGGTGTTGAAAGTGTTGCTGTTGAAAGTGTTGGAAGTGTTGCCGGTATTGAAAGTGTTGGATGTGGAATGATTAGAAATCATCAGTCTTGCAGTTTCATTCTTTATCGGCAATCTCAACGTAAAATGGAAACGGAAAATGAGAAATGGAACTGAAACGAGATGGGAATTGCTTGCAAAAGATCCTCGTAGAAACTTTTTGGAAACAGAGGACTTGTTTTATACATTCACTTCTTTTTGAGAGCGCTGCTGTCTGATGAGTAATGCGTGTTAGGTGTCGAATCCGGCGCTTTGCGATTAGTGAGTATAAGACCCATCTATAAGAGGTTTTGCAGCGTTCTCTAATATCGAAGTTTGCCTGTAACAACGTCCTTTTCCAAAAATTCATGTGAGGATCTTTTGCATGCGAAGGCATTTCTCCTCTTGTTTCAGCTCCTTTTCTCATCTTCCGTTTCCATTTCAAACGTACTCACCAGCCGGTGAAATCGCTCGAGGAAGAGTGAAACTGGAGGGACCGTAGATTCGCCCGCAGGAACGATTACTTTTGGATTGGAGCAGGAATCCTCCGTAGAGCACCTTACTCTTCCAACGCTGAATTTGAGGATGCGCTTGCCAAATAACTCAGTTGCGTCTTGCAACTCTACTACTGCAACTCTAGTCTCCGTATCAAGCTTGTCGAGCCACTTCCTCTGGTCGTGATATGCACTGACTTATATCAGTGAAGCTTTTGCGCTCGGATGAACTCAATTACGGCTAACACTTTTGCAGACGCTCTTGCCGCGTTTGTCATTTGAGCGGACTTCTTCTATGCCATGCTTGGCAACAGAAATCTATCCGAGAATATTTGAATTGGCAACAATTTGTGCAAGTTGTGTGCATTATCAAACTATCTTCCAGATAAAGGTGGAACAAAGATTGATTTCATGAGGGCATCGCAATTCAATGCATAAACACTAAAGCATGCGGAATAAAAAATACATCGCAGCGCTTTATGCTCCGAAAAGGAGAACATTTCACAGTCAAGCTCTGCCATATTTTGCTTTGTAGTATTTCACATTTACTTGAATCATTCAGGCCTATTGTAGAATCATTCTCCTTTTGTCATTTTATCATGTTCTTGTAAATCTGAAACACTGCAAGGGCTGACTTGAAAACTGGAGTCATAGTTCAAGTTTGTTGAAGGTGACTTTGCAATTCTTATTGCAAACGGTCTTGGTTAATGGTGCCTACATTTTCGACAAACTAAGTCGTAAAACCTAAGCATCAGCATTCAGATTCTTTTGCAGATTTATATTCTTGGCGAGCTTTGAAAAATGAAGTTCAGTGGTCTTTTTCCTCGCTTACATTTCTGAGGAAAGCTCTATGCATCTGATACTTGAATTAGCCTTTCAGGTCCAAGCAGCATTATGTATGGTGACAAAAATCTACAGCGTATCCCAAAATAATGTGCACACTGTATGATCATTAAAAACTCTCTTGCCTTCATGTCTTTTTGAAGAGGGCTGTACAAATTTGACGGAGTTGAAAAAACAACCACTTCTCAAGACCGAAGGCCATTTATGCTCATACACTGTAAACTAGGCATGTGCATATCATTAAAAAGAATAACAACCTCGACAATAAGCTGTCAACATGATTAATATTTATTTATCTCCTTACCTTCGTACCTGAAATTTTCTCAACACAGCGATTTGACTTTGACAAAAGCACAAAAGAACAAATCTTGGCCGCTTTCGAGAAGTCACAGCAAGAAGACGACGATCAACCGCTGATCAGTGCGCAACATTCACAATCAGAGACAAATCACGATGTTAAGAAGCTGGTACAAATTAGTTTCCTAGTGTCACCTTTTTTGCAAGAATTTCGCTTATAGGCAGACTCCCCAATAGTCAAGGCATTCACTGGTGCTGAAAGGAGACGGTTGTTCAGATTCCAGATCGAAAAAGTGATATTTACTAAAGAGAAGAGGAAAACGCAAATCAAACTTTTACGTACAAATTCAAACCGCATTAACAAAGATTGTACTTGATGCTGATAGTAATGGAAACTTAAAGCTTGAGTAACTCATTTTATGCGATAACTCTGCGCGGTTTCCCAAAATCAGTTCCCGCTGGCGATACTCATTTGTCCAGATTTGCCTGGACGCCGCTTCCAAAGAAAGTGGCTCGACAAGCTTGATACGGAGACTAGAGTTGTAGTAGTAGAGTTGCAAGACGCAACACTGAGTTATTTGACAAGCGCATCCTCAAATTCAGCGTTGGAAGAGTAAGGTGTTCTACGGAGGATTCCTGCTCCAATCCAAAAGTAATCGTTCCTGCGGGCGAATCTACGGTCCCTCATGAAACTGCAAGACATAGTTTCCACATTTAATGCTTTCAACACCGGCAACACTTCCAACACTTTTAACACCGGCAACGCTTTCAACGCTTTCAGCACCGGCAACACTGGTAAACTCTAACCCAGGGCACGGCGCAGATCGTATGGATGCAAACTGGACTTCGTTTTTGGGGCAGAAATGCGAAGAGGATATCGTTTTTGTAGCCAAAAATTGCGACGTTTTCTAGTCGATTCGTTTTTGAAGGGTTTTTTACGTTTCTAGGCTTCTGAACAATAAAGTCCCCCAGACTTTCGCAAAATTTTGCGAAGTCCCCTTTGACTCTCAGCCCTAAGCTGTTGTCAAGAAGCCTAGAAACGTACTCATGCCGGGCTGGCGATCCCTTAGAGCAAACGGCATATAGATAGACTGGATCAGAGACATTCAGCAAGATAAAAGCCAAGTTCTGGTGTATCCTTAAATTCTGCATGAGTACAATGAGATTTACGGCTCATCGAACCTACAAACAACCCCAAGTAATTAAGGATGAAGAAGATATTTATCAATTTCCTGTACACCGGGCTCATAACTGTTTGCGAATCTGCTGACAAGGGAATGGTCAGAAATCGAAGTGGCCAATCCATACAAGCTGCTTACCATTCGATGCAGCATAAAATGCTGATTTCAAATCTGTCTTCCATAACTGCAGAGCGCCTTTGTAGGCGAAGTTATGAGCAGCTTTACTACGAAAAAAGCCGTATACAAAAATTACAAAATTAGGCACATTACTGCTCTTTCAGCTTACTCTAAGTAGTGGTCATATGAAGTGACCTAGTTGCATGTTTCGGTCCAACACTGAGCCGAGAATGGCTTTGTACGGCCAAGTTTGCACTATACACGCACAAATTCTTAACAAAGTAATGGGCTTCTTCAACGGCTTAAAATTTCGTTTACAAAAGCGTTCTGCAGATAAGGAAGAAAGATTCAGACACAGCGTTTTATGCTGCATCTGATGGTATGCAGCTTGTATGAATTGGCCGCTTCGACTTCTGACCATTCCCTTGTGAGGAAAGGAGCACGTCAGCAGCGCGAGCGGACGCATAACATAAACGTCTGCTGGAATGGAAAGGCGCTGTGAACAAATCTCGCTAATTGTCACAAGGTCCCCTTAACACCATATTATCTCGTCATTACACTAAGGCCCGTATGCACGTACATCCCCGCGGGGAGGGGAGGGGATCTGAGAGGGGAAGCGCCATATGTCACTGCTCTAGATATCTTTCTTCTCTATCGTGCTTATGAGGGTTCCCATGCCCGTATACCTGCGCATAACAGATGCCAGGTTACTGCTATACAAGATCAAATATTCAATATTTCTTCCGATCCCCTGGGGATCCCCAGGGGATCATCTCACATTTTCAAAGTCGTTTACCTTCCTGAAAAATGAATGAAAACGCCGGAAAATTGTACTGGAGATGTACTACGATACTGCTGAGCATGTTTTCGACAGAAGAAATTGAATCTGAAGATTTCGTTTCGATAACTGGCGCGCGAGCAGCGGTTCATCGAAGATTTTGATATCTTGAGATTTCACTCATTTCTACCATAAATATGTTTAGCAGTGCTGTAGTATATCCGCAGTACAATTTTAGAACATTTTCATCGAGTTTTCAGAAGGATAAATAACTTTGAAAATGTGAGGTGATCCCCTGGGGATCCCCAGCGGATCAGACGAAATAGTGAATATCTAATCTTGTATTGCAGTAACCTGGCATCCATTATGCGCAAGCATCAGTGTATGAGAACCTTCAAAACCAAGACAGAGAAAGAAGAAGAAAGATATATAGACTAGCGAGATATGACGCTTCCCCTCTCAGATCCCCTCCCCTCCCCGCGGGGATGTACGTGCATACGGGCCTAAGACCTAGCGTGGCTCAAGCGTCAAGGGATTTGGCAAGTTCAATCATGGCGCGCAGGGAATTCCGATCTCAACACATTGGGCTCTGCCATCCGCTCAGGCCATGTACGCCAAACTTTCGCATCCACAGCCTCGTACAAGGAGGCTTTTACGAACGAGATATCGATCTCGCTCAAGTTTGTGTTTGCGCGAGTTTTGAAGACCAGATCTCTTGGTACAAAGTGGTAAACAATTAATTCGTTCGCAGCACATACGTAACATAACAATATGATAAAAAACCACTATTGAATGGACAAGGGTAAGAGTAAGAGACTGACATGGTGTGGAAATTATGCGATCAAAAGGGGTGCAAGCTTTTCATGACAATTTTCCTCCATTGAAAAATGCGAAAATAACTCGCTTCCAAAGCATGAGTAACCTCTTGTGAGTTTTGGGCGGCGCAGAGCGGCCTATTTGCTACCTTTGACGCCGTGTTACACGCACGCTAGGGGGTAGGAAACTATATGCTACCGACAGGCTACACCCCGCGCGGACAGTTGGTAAATCTTTAATGTCCGTAATTTGCATATTTGCGAGGTCTGTTGCAGATGCCCGCTTGGGATCACCCCTTCGGCGAGTAGTCCTCTTCCGCGTCAAGCTTCAGTAATTTGAGATACGGAACAAATGCGCACATGAGGCTTGAGAAACGGTAGTACGAGAAAACTCTCAGGATACAGGCAATAAAAAGTAGGCAGCTTTCAAAAAGCTGTCCTAAATTTAGCCTTACCGGTAGAAGAGCTACCTGAAAGATCAGGCACAGCGGAGCATGAGAAAGATGAACAGAATCAAGCCAAACTGCGAAAACATGAAGGATGTAGAGTTCAAGAATAAAAGTTCGTGGGCACACCTAAAGCGCATTATTAACCGCCTGCTCGTTGCTTGGAAGCATCTCACCGTTGCAAACATGCCCAGACTGGCGGAAGCTCCCAACCCTAATTTATGGAACTTTGTGGCGCATAACCTGAAAGGGCAGCAGATCTCGATTTGTTGAGGGCTTCCGTGCCTAACATAGTCAAGCTTGCCCGATCAAATTCTCAAAGACAGCGTTTGGGCACATTTAAGCATTATTGGCTAGGAAGTCAAAGCGCAAATGACCACGTTTTAAATCCCGCCTATTTCCTTAGAAGGCCAACATTTGAACGAAGTCTCCTCCGGCCTAGGCTTGTTTTCACATGGCACAGTCGAACACTGCTGTTTACCTTTTGATACCTGCTTTCAACAAGAAGCGCCAGGGCACTCATCCGCGGTTCTCACAAAATAAAGCCAAAAGATTTTGAAGTGCCATCCTGAGCTATAAAAATGGCAAGGCATATGGCACTAGGATAAGGCAAAAAATGTAGGTAGAGAACATTAAGCATTCATGCGCAGCTGAGAACAGAACGTAAAACATAGCACCAGTAAAAATCAGTGGACTTTCAATAAATCAATTTGCTTTTGAAATTCTAACCATGTATTCTGAACGAATATGCATTTTGATTTCTCCCTGTGCTATGAATTGTCCCATACACAAACGTTCAATGAATGACTGATATCTAGGATAAATTGGCCGTTTTCGCATTTTTGAAAAAATGACCGTATCCTCGATCTGGCTTACTGCCGATGATCACTGTGTGCATGTAAACACAAACTGTTAGATACCAAAAATTGGGTTTTGATATGTTTGCGAAATTTCACGTCAGGGCCGATAGTAGTCCCCCCGACCTGGCGGCAGGTCTCGTCGGCAGATCGCTGGCACTTTTCCGTGAGGTGGCCACAAACTAAAACCCCAAATTTAGGCCGTCCCAGGCCTTTTTCCAAAAAATTTTCTCGATAAAGATGCCACCTCGACCCTATAGAAACCTCCATCGATATTTGCGGTTTAAGAAATCCTCCTGTAGAAAAAAATTTGGAAGCACAGGACGAGCTGCCGGCAACTTCGCGAGGTCAGTTGCCGGCAACCTGCCGGCAGCTCGTCGAAATCCGCGAGATGGCAGCTGCCGGCAGGTCAGAGAGCACGAGAAATAGTGTGCTCTTTTGAGAGAGGAAGCTGCCGGCATCTCGACGTGCTCCTACCACGTCGAGGTGCTGGCACCTTTGCAGACGGCGTCTGCGAGTTTGCGAATTGCGGCGGTATCACACAATTTACGTCAGGCAAAAAAATCAAAAATTCTACTCTTCATCGGAAAACTATCATTTATCTCATTATATGAGTTTTCCTTTTTTAAAACAACGATTTCCTTACAGAGAAAAAACCCAGTAATGCCTTAGAATCATAAAGAACGCCATCTTTTCAGCAATCCCTTATAAATCTCGTTTGCACCGATTTCGCCCCTCTCTCGCTCATATCAATCAGCTGTTCTTTCAGATCATAGTCTTTCACGCAATGTATCGATCCCTCTCACAGGCAGCCGTTTACCAGCGCGTTCCTCCTATTGCTGGTGCAAACAGCAATGGCTGACCGAATGATCGAATGGTTAACGTGGTGGCACTTCAAGTTAACTCACATAGGTTCGACCGCGCGCGAGGTAGCAATTTTGCGACTGTTTGCGCCATCAAAATTCAATGTGCGAAATGATTGCGTGCTAAGGTTACATAAGATTATTAGAACCTACAATCACTCCGCGAGCTGCCGCCGAGGATGGCAACTTCCCCCGATATCTGCTTACTTGCCGGAATCGGATTTTGAGATCTCCCCGTTTATAGGGTTGGACAGGGAGGGGAGCACATGTCGCCGAAAGGCTTCACTCGCGTTGGCACGTGGTACAAATCTATAGTGCCTGGAATGTGTGGAGTCTAGACTTGAGTAGTTAGCATCTTCGAACAACCTCTAGATGCTAGTTAGAAGATGTTGTTTTTCTCGGTTTCCTTCTCGATGTTCACTTGGTAGAAGCAATTCAGTTACTTTTAAACTCACAATCAATACTACCGTCGTAATGTATGTACATAGGATGGGGTATAGTCCATTAGTAGAATTGAACATCTTCTCTAAACATTATTTGCAACTTAGCAGGTGTGAACTTATGTTAGTCATGCCTCCCATACTTGGTGATGATAACAGTCACTCAAGCTTCAGTCATGCTCAATCTCTTGCGTTTTATGTGCCACAATTATGAATTTACAAGCTCAAAAATGGAAAATTCGCCTTCAGAAAGGCCCAAAGCAGTCGGAAAGTGAAGCGTCTGATAATCCTCCAGAGCAAGGTACTCCTGAATCCCCTGCACCACCAAAACCTAAAGCCCCGGCTGTAGGTGGAATAGCAGGTATGGTACATACCAATGTTTTTGAGTCAACTTTGAAATTTGTTGTTCTAGGCACGCATGATCCTAATTATCAGACATTGGCTAACATTGGAGGTGACGTTTTTGGAGCCGATAAAAAAGCAGCGGAAGGTGGCGGCCCTCCTGGTGGTGGTGGTGGTGGCCCTGCACCACCGAAAGCACCTGCTCAAGGAGGGCAGATGGCTGGTGAGTCCGATTTTCAGCTTTTTTTCGGAAGCTTGCTAGTAGCTGGTTGCAAAACAAGTGTAGTACGTCAACGCAGTTCGAACTTTAACAAGAAAGAAATCCTCCCAATTGCTTATGCACGAATGGTCTACAACTGTTAGGAAGTGCTTCTAGTTCTTTGGTAGTGTAGAACCTCTCCACTCCTTTTTCCTGCTACTTCTTTGAAAAGCTTTACAAACAGATTTTAACTTAACGATTGCACCTACTCCTTCGAATTTGTAACCCTGCATGTTCCAATACTATTGAAATTTCTAAAAACATCTCTTTTGAGGCACGTACGATCCTAACTATCAAACACTGGCTGGTATCGGTGGCGATGTCTTTGGTGCTGATAAGAAAGGAGGTGGTGGTCCTCCAGGTGGTGGTGGAGGAGGAGCACCCCCAGGTGGAGGCGGTGGAGGTGGTCCTAAAGCACCTGCTGCTGGTGGTCAGATGGCAGGTTAGTGATAGCTCGAACGGCACTTACATATAAAGGCCAAATGTGACTCAGAATTCATATAGTCTAATAGTTATCAGATCGGAGTAATGCAAAAAAATTGTATTTTGAGGTACCTACGATCCAAACTATCAGACTCTTGCCGGCATTGGTGGTGATGTGTTTGGAGAAGACAAGAAAGGTGCTGGCGGAGGTGGAGGAGGTGGTGGTGGTGGTGGAGGCGGTGGAGGCGGTGGAGGTGCTGGAAAACCGCAAGCTCCTGCCAATCAGGTAAAGGCAATGGGTGATAAGATAGGAAGTTCCGATGCCCACGTTTTATAGGGACAACAAGCTGGCACATATGATCCGAACTACCAAACCCTAGCCGGTATCGGAGGTGATGTGTTCGGTGCAGATAAAAAAGCTGCTGGCGGAGGAGGTGGAGGAGGTGGAGGTCCAGGAAAGCCTCAAGCTCCTGCCAACAAGGTACGTTTTATGTCGTTCATATGATGTGAATTTCGAGAAATGGTCCCTTATATTTTGTTTAGGCTGCACAAGCTGGCACATACGATCCCAACTACCAAACTTTGGCCGGAATTGGTGGCGATGTGTTTGGAGCAGATAAGAAGGCTGCAGGCGGTGGAGGTGGTCCCAAAAAACCAATTGCACCAGCTAATCAGGTATTACTCTAGAAGTCAGCGAGGGGAGGAGAGGCGGTATGTAAGAACGTATGACATCAAGTATTCAAGCCCTGTGCAAAAAGTTGCCCAAGAAGAAACTCTTCTCTGTTTTCTTCGTCATAAGCAGCTTTGAAATTTTCACTAATTTTTTTTGATAATTGTATCAAGAATACCAAGATATTGCGTATCGTTCGTTCAAACGCAAATGTGTCGCTATTTTGAAAAAAAATTCAAGTAAAAATTGCTCGCATATAGGCAGCAAAGGCGGGCACGTACGATCCAAACTACCAAACCCTAGCTGGAATAGGCGGTGATGTGTTTGGAGCAGATAAGAAGGCTGCGGGTGGAGGAGGTGGTGCAAAAAAGCCGATTGCACCAGCTAATCAGGTACATCTAAGTGCTTTTACGAAAGACTCAAGTCATAACCTCGTATTTCCTAATGTGAAATTCAGTCAAAAATTTGAATAGATTCTTTTGTGCTTCAACTAAAACTGTCTATCCATCCTAAGCTCCACACCCCATCCATTTACTGCTTTGCTTTACTTTATGGATTGCATTGATCTTAAGAAACCACGTTATGAAAATTTTTCAGAAGCTCTTCACGTAAAAGACCTTACAAGAATATTTTATCAAAATCCGAAAATCCACAGACTTTTCCTACAAAGTGCCGACACTTAGATGACCCTACCTGCCTACTTCTACTCTGCAACAAACTGCAGGTTTTCGCTGTGTGAAAAATTTTTGGTAGTCAAATGCGTTCAATAATTTTAACAACTTGGAGCTAAGGAAGATTCATAGACATATTAGATTGAAATTCATAGGTAAAAGATATCGCACGCTTTCAGGCTGCCAAAGCTGGAACATTCGACCCCAACTACCAAACCCTTGCTGGTATAGGCGGAGACGTATTCGGTGCCGATAAGAAGCGTTGAATGCTTGAATTGCTTGAAGAATAAAAGTTTGACCTATGGCAAAGTCTAATATTAAAAATCCGCTGCTTTACATAGATACTTCATCGTATCTTCAAAGGAGCATCCTCGTCTAACCCAACAACAGCGAATGTAAAAGACATCGACACAACGAAATAGTAAAATTGATTAAATGGCAAATACAATACTAACAAGTAAAACTAAAACTAAGTAATTGTACATGAAAATTGCAAAGGGTTCAAAAAACATTAGCGTTAATAGGGATGAAGTCATTTCGGTGACTCTTTGTCCTTGTTTTCGTCCTTCTTCTCTGATACATCACTTTCCTGAAGCATTATCACTTATTTTTGTATTATTTTTAGTCCCAGTATTATTATCTTTTATTTAAAAAATCCTTCCAAACTTTTATATCACCATATTACACAAAAATCTACGTGTATGCATATATAACTGAGTGTTGGTGAATTGTCAGTTAGTGTGTTCTCAATGGAAATTTTTGTGTGTGGAGCGATCAGCGCCAACTTTGCACACATATATTCTCGACACCGGTCCACCCCGTAGGCTAACACCACGGTGGCGAAGCCGGGCATGTCAGCTAGTAAATAAATAAATTCCTACTATCTCAATCACGATACGAGAAATCCGGAACGGATCACGATCCTTTCCATTGAAGACAGTGCATATCATCCGCGTTGTCTTACAAACCCCCGGGATCTCCGCTCGATAGCAGTTCAACTTTCTATCGCTCAATCGCCAATACGAAAGTAATCTTCGCAGCGGTGTACTGGCCGAGCTGTCGACCACAACTCAAAGGCAGTGTCCTGGCAGATTCGCGCCCTGCGGGATATTGTTGTGGTGGGGGTTCCTGGTCACCTCACTGACCCCCAAGCGCAGTCCGGCTGGTTGATGTTCCCCCTGGGCCGAGAAAATAGCCCTTGAACCGACGCGACTCGGACGAATTCGCCTACCGTTCGACGAGGGACCCACGGCCGCTCTCCCGCATTGTGCATGCTATCCAAAGCAAAAATTACAGGCAGGAGGGTCTTCGCGCCATGGCCTCCCGACTTTTCGTTGAAATTCTCGTCCGAACTGTCTTTTGGGAGTTGGGTAAACGCCCCGAAAAAGGTATTTTCATCCGTTTCAAAGCTCAAATTCGGGGTCTACGGGTTAGAAAGGCCCAAAACATGCAAAAAGATGGAACTACAAATTCTCCGGGACACTGCCTTTAACACGAAAAGTGATGGCAAGCTATAGTGCAAAAACGAAAAAAGAGATCAAAGACGCGTACTCCGTTTTCTGCGCGGCTTTATATTCGCCTCAATGGCAACTCGCCCAGTGGGGAGAGGTCTGCTAGCGACTAGGATGGCGCGCCCGATATTGTGGGCAATCAGCGTTCCCGTCCAACCTTTACGCTACAGAAATTGCATTGCCCGACACTAATCCTCAAAGGTGAAACAGAGACAAGATGCAAAGTGCAGTGGATTTCACACTTATATTCTTCGTTAAATGGGTTATTCATGTGTGAATTTGGTGATCTTTTGGAGAATACCAAAATAATATTCGATGATGTGAAGTTTGAACGGCAAGTATGACTCACAGGGATATTTGGAGGAACCGTTCCTTGCAGTTTAGCAAGCATAGGTGCAGCTGGATGCCGTAGAGAATCCGCTTGCGAGAATCGCCGCATGTTGGATGGCAAAAGATGCAAGGGATTCGTCTCGATTGTCAGTGAGTGTCGATGTCTGAAACGAGGCATTTACGCAAAATGGGAGTTGCAAGGTGTTTTTATTCCTCTAAAAAATCTGAGAATTCGAGTAGTGAGTGCATAGCCATACTAAAGAGTTGGTCGCTCAGAGTCTCTGTGGTTTCTAAGGTCAAATGCCGGTCACCAGGCACTATAGAAGAGGCTGAAGTTCAACTACTAGTGCGTTCAACTATTAGTGCTCTAAAGTGTGCTAATCCAGCAGACGTAACCACGCATTTAATTTTATAGCTCTGGTTTATTGACCTGATGCGGGTTTTGATGGGATAAATCACTTCTGCAATTCGACAAGTTCATATGCTAAAAAAAAGATATAGCCGAACCGTGAGCAGATAAAGAAGATGCTCATCTCGGCCCAGCTGAAGCGGTTTCCAAAACAGTCTGAGAATAACCATGATCTAAGCGTGGAAACTACATGGTCAGTGCGAAATTTTTTTCTGTTTCTGAACCGCGCATGAAACCAGCAGGATATGCGATTTTATTGTTCTAAATTTCTTCGCTTTCTGATTGTGAGTTTCATTTTTCCTAAGAAATTACTAACCCTTGTTTACTGAACTCAGCTAAAAGATTTATCCACGCTTTTAAAACAGACGTATGTGCTTAACTTAAACATTTTGTTCTCCGGTTTTGAATCTTCGCCAAAGACGAAGCTGGATATCAACAAGATTATCTTTTCTAACGTATAGTAACTGATTGAAAATCGACAATGATGAAAATCGTTGCAGAATTTAGGAACATGGATCGTACTAATCAACCACCGTTGTCGCTTCATGTAAGATTTTCCTACGATGTAAGGTATTGCTTACAAGCAGCGGAACTTGACATAGGATGTCAGTTTTGCGCATATGTTTCTCTCACATGTCCTCGTATTAGTACTCACTGCCCTTGTTCTGAGGAAAAATCATCATCCAATACTCGTAGCCACCTCATCTATAAACATAACTTATAAGTCATGCACATAGAAATCCATGGAAATTTTGTGATAACCTATTTAATGGCTTCTCTTCGTGCAATACATACTGCGCTCTACTTCAATCAATCAAAACAGTGATATGCACAAAACTTTATTTTTATTCCCAATCCTAAACGTGGATATGGTTACTGCTAGAAAGAATACCTTGATTTCCAAGTGCTAGATCATCTCACCGGAACTATGAAGAACTTATTGTTTCGATCGAGATTAATAGTGCTCATTAGTTTTTTTTCCAAAAATCGTAGTTCACATGACTTTCTGTAACCTCCAAGTGCCACAGTTTCCCCTTTTCACTATTCTTCAGCCCCACTAGATTCTGTTTGAAAATCATTAGCCACTTTCGTGAGAAACTGAAATCTATTTTAGCCATTGTTCAGGCTGAAGCTGCACTTTGCATGACGATAACGGGTAAAAAACAAAATGTGAAGACAACTAATCTTAATTTTTCCGATTGAGTACAATAACACCGTGAAGGAGCGTCGGGTGTGAGATGAAAAAGTTGCTAAACATAAATTATATACTCTATTTTCCGGCTTATAAGGCAGCGAACAAGGGTTCCTTAAAAGGGTGTTTCTAGTGTAGAAAGAAGATCCAGCGTGAAATTTCGTGTTTTTTTTTCTCAATGGTTCCATGGTGACGGTGCTTCCTTTCGTTTCCTCGATAATACTGCTGGTGTTGAAGCTATGTCTCCTTTCATCAATGATACTACTTCTCAACGATACTTTTACTGTTCTGCAGAGTTTTGGAGAACAAAGGAGAAGATAGAGATTTTTGTTCTGAGAGAATCACAACTGGGAAGGAAACAACGATGAAGAGCAGAAAGTGACTGATAGTGTACTAGCTGAAATAAATAGTAGTTTGCTGATCGCACATTAGCCCGTGATGAAAATTTGCGCGATCTATACCGAAATAGGGATATTTGTGAGTAAACAAAATGTATGAAGCAAGATCTATGGTTACAACTCCACTGATGTGTAGGCATAGCAATTTTAGTGAAGAAGCAAACGCTATAGATTTGCAAGCGAAATGTGTACAGCATTCAAATGACATCGAAACTTGATGTGCTGCTTATTTGCCTACAGTCAAACAAGATGTGGCGCAATTGTGGCGTTGCCAAACCCTCAGTTTTTTTTCCGATGTAATTTTTTGAGGCTTCTCCTCCGAGCCCTTCAGACAAAGTTCCTTTAACACATTCACGACAATACAACGGTGGGTCGTATGTATTCTGCCGTTTCGGACAGTACGGCCCATCGGTGGGTCGTATGCTTTCTGAAGTTTTTGGTTTCACTAAATTACTATGAAACTTTCCGGGCAAACTGAATAAACATGTACACGTCTTTTGGAATACTTCATAAAAAATTAACACTTCAGACCGTGAGAACCATCAGTGGCCAGAAAAATAAAGCAAACTCAATATTGCGAAATATGCTCTGGTCCGAAATGGCAGTCATCGAAAAATCGGCCTTGTCGTAAATGTGTTAAGCTAGTTATCCTACAATACCACAGCTTCATCTTCGGAAAAAAAGTGCCTGAAAGGCAGTGTTACAGCAAAATTCGTTTTCCAGTTTGACATCTCTTCGGAACCTTCTCGCCATGAAGAACCCATCTCTGGTTTTCAGCGCATGAAGATGGCGGAAATGAGCTTCTCTTCGAAGCTTTCCAGGTTCGCGTTCAGTGAATACGTGTAAGTGAACGGGGTCCGAAACGAGGGAGGCGGAGCGCGAAAAACTTTCGGCGTATCTTCAATGAATGCAAACGCGGAAAGCCTCGAAAAAAGCTCGTTTTCACTATTTTTATGCGCTGAAAAGTCCAGATATGGATTCCTTATGGTGAGAAGGCTCCGGAATGGTGAGAAACATAAGCGAAATATTGCCGAGACGCTGTCTATAAATCTGCCAAGATTCTGCCTTGCTTGTAGCCAAATATAAAGGCTCGGATATGTTCTTGTTTTTTTTGTCCATCACCATTCACCACATACATAGTATAGTTTTGATAAGGCAACACTTGTGAAGTCCCTAGAATTCTGAATTTGTTGACATAAGCCACCGATCGCAGTCGGGCGATTCATTAATTGCGTGATTTAGCGTGTTACCTCACACTCTAATGTCGGCTTACTTTTGATGGTGAAAAACTTGTGTCATAAAATGAATTATCAAAATTGGAACTTACCCCATATTCGGAGCATTTTGATTGGTGGACGTCATCTTAGCGTAACTGGAACCAAAACAATTAGTCGAAATTGCGGGTACTTGTGAAGAGAGATAAATAATAGCGACAATTTATCAGATAGCAGGATGTTTACAAGGAGCTTGAGAGGTTCGTCTTGTTGAGCAAGCAAAGATGAAAAAGTAAAGCAAAATTATAGTAATATTCTGGAAGTACAATTTCTGCAGTGTTAGTTGGTAAATAGTCAATGAGAGACACTGTTTCAATCAAAATAATGGGAAAGTCAGTTTCGCTTAGCTCTTTCCAGTGTCAAACTCCTGTCTGCTATGTCAAAAATTATTTGCAATGCAGACTAAGCACCTTTGTAGAATTTTGAGACAAGCCGTGAATCGAAAAAGCATAATGCGAGACTGAACAATTGGAAAAATTTCATACACTCTTGAAAAATTTCTTAGAGAGCATTGCTTGGACATACCATATAAGAGAAGGGGTCAAAAATGCGAAGGGGTTTTCCTACTTTCTTTTCTCAATTGGCAGAGAAGTTGAAAGCTAAACATGCGGCAATCAGGGAGACCATGAGAGAGAAAAGTGTTGTCCAACATGCCCAAAAATATGAGCGCTATCTGAGTCTAATTTCTTCCCTCCAAGCTAAAAAAAGATAGGTAGACATGAGGCTACGACAAAATTCCACTTCCATGTGAAAATGTGCAATTGTTCGCACGTAAATTATCACGAATGCGACACATCTGGTTGTTTAGCGCATTCTGAATTTAGTCCTTGAAAAACGTGTGGAGAGCTCAATCAAATGAGAAAATGCATAAACTTACAAATAATTATCATTGTGTGCATAATCATTCGATAAAGCCATTGAAAAAAGTTTTTTCCATTCAAGAAACAGAACTGTAAATAGATTGAAATATAGCTTTGGCAGGAAGTACCTGATTTTTCTCTGAATTCTGAAGCAACCTATAGCAAATCACTCCATGATTAAATTGACATTTCCAACGAAAGATTATTGCAGGTGCTTACTTGGAGTTTTCTTGGTACTCATTTTTACACCTGCTAGCCCTAATTTTAGCCCATTTTAGTTCAACTAACCCTGTTGATAACAGTAGTTGGAGTTTGCCAAAAATAGGATTGAAAAAGACTGAAGAAACCGCCGTCGAAGCTGAAGCTACCCTATATTCATCAGTAACCAGGATCATGAATCTAGCGTTAAGAATGTATACTTTGCCACCGGAAAGAGTGGTGCAGAAACGAACATTAAAGTAAAGTGAAAATTGGATTAAGTAAAGTAAAGTAGTTAGTGTTAGAAAGGGAAATCAAGCTTCAACATGAGTAAAGTGAAAAGTGGAAAAAAAGTAAAGTAGCTGGTATTAGACAGGGAAATCAAGCTTCAACCTCCAGGATTTTACATATCTAATACTTGTAATTTGGCAAATTTGCTTCAAATTAACTGTTCCGCTACTGCTAATCTACTTCAGTATTGATAACAACACAAAAACAGGCAGAATATTTCACCACCAGAAGGAATGGTGCGGAAAGAGAGTTTTCTAAGCTGATGAACGATGTAAATCTAGAAAATAAATAGGTTACCAGACACGATGTTTATGTCTTGGCTGCCCTAATGGTTGTGTGACTTCCGTCCATAACACACCGTTGAAGTAGTAAACGAGATAACATATACTCAAGAATAAATTAGATTTGACGAAAACAGCTAATAAGGGAAACATGTTTAGTCAAAGTGCACTTCTAAAGTGGGTATAGCAAGTATAGCATACTGGAGAGCATAAAACGCTAATTTCAAATTTGCCTTCCTTATTTGCAGAGCTCTTTTGGAAGAAGACTTATGAACCTTTGATAAAGCAAAAAATTACGTGTGCAAATAGGACAAAAAAATTGCCGTAATTTTTTCTTCAAGCGCTTCATTGAAATAGTGATGATTATCAGAGCACCTTGTTTAATGAATGTCTCAGATAAAAAAACTTATCACACTTGGTTGCTTCTTAAGGGCAGGGAGATTTTAGCCAGCTCTATCCTAAATGCACTTTTTCTTTTTTGCTTTAATAATCGCTCATGACTACTCGTCCACATATGTTCCGCTGGTAAGAAAGGCAGAATTGGAACCAGTATTCAATGTTTTCTGATATGGTATACATCCCATCTAGAAATGCCACATGGACTAAAACTGGCTCCCTTGAAAGTTCTTAGGCGTAGAAACTTCTGGGATCTGATTGAACAAAATTTACATTAAGTTTTGCAGAATGAATAGATTAGCGAGTTCTCGACATCAACAACAGCACGGAAGTTTTAGTATTGTTTACAAGTACAAAATGATAGTGACTATTTTAGAAATCACTCTAAAGCTCTATCAGCTATTTACGCAGCCTCTTAATCACTAAGTATTTTGCAACAATATACAAAATCAAAAACCTTTGCAAGAAATGAGTAGGGGCTAACGTAGAACTTGGCTTACTTGAGTATATGTAACTTTGGAACTGAAGATAGTAAGCAAAATGACATCGGAAAAATTGCTATATACAATTTTATATAACATTATGAATGAGGCGGAAAAGAAAAACTGATAAAGTTTGCTCTAGCAAAATAACATTTTGTCACTGTAACTTGTTTTTTCGTTCAGGTCTACCAAAAAAATTTTAGCAGTGGAAATGATGCTTGAGCTAATCAACAGAGTCAGAGGGAAAATGCGGAAAAAATCTTATTTTGAATATTCTAGCTGAGAGACTGAAGTTGGAGCTTGTAATATGGGCTGCTCCATACCTCCTCCGTGCTGCGATTAAATAAATGTTGTTCACCTAGACGCATAAAAAGGTATTATATGAAAGACAATAAGCAGTATCCATGGTTTCTCGCTCAACCATCGTTCATTGTGGGCAGTTTTTAGGTATACCACCGTAAGAAAACAATGGAAGACGTTTATGATCATAAATATGTAGTTTAGAGCAGCACTACAATTCAAATACACTTCGACACTGCAGTAGTCCCAAGTAATTTTGATCTCGTGAAGTTTGCTCGCAAAATTACTTAATGAGCAGCTAATCTAAAAATATGTGCATTTTGGGAAAGCTGCAGCGATAACAACCACTGATCGTAGACCAAAAGCATTACTCATTCAGCTCAACCACGGCGATATTCGAGAAGGCTGTGGTAGGCAGAAGTAATTTGAGGGTGAAAGATTTGGGTCTTTGGGCTCATTCTTTATGCTTTCAGCTAGGCGAGTTTAGGCTATTACCACCATGTCAATAGCAAGTAGGATGATGTTCCCGCACCATCCATAGTAGCTTTCCTGAAGCTTAGTAATAAAAACAAATTCGATGGCCGAAAACCAGTGACGAAAGGGAAGCAACTATCCTGATTTCACGAATACAGGACGTGCCTTTTCAATTTTTTTCAAACAAGCACCTCGGCCGGGCCACTGTGACCTGAGAAACGGTAGCTCTCCCACATAGTTCTTTGTAAGCACGATAGGAAATATATTTAGTCCCGAAATTTTTCGGTGTGTTCAGGCTGGTAGAGCCTAGAAAAAAAACAGGTGCGCTTGTAATCGTGAAATTAGGGTAGTGCAATTGCAATTTGAAGGCTTCTGCTAATCAAGCAAAGTTAAATCCATCAAGATATTGCGCGGTTAATAATAGAAAGTAAATTTGGTCACTTTTGACGTAACCCATAGATCTTGAAGAGCTCCTTTATAATTGATCGGCAAAGAAAGTACCTAAGAAGTTTCATACTTTCGCTGAAAACAGTTTTGGCGTTAAACTGGCACAAGAACTGTGACAATTTCTCGCCGAATTTTGGAAAGTCGTTGAAGTTTTTTTTTGGAATCACAGATCCTCTAACAGTAGAACTCAAGTGATTCAATGCCTCCAAGCTTCAATTGAGCACGCAAATGCGGTTTCAAATTTCCAATCTTAGACTACAAAGCGCAAGTTCAGATACAAATAAACCAATCAATTTTCGTCTACTAATCCACCTTACCACTACATCCATAAGAACATAAGGAGGGGTTCCTAACGCCAAAAAATGTCTTGTTAGGACAGAGATTGCTTTCCATAAAGAAAAACTCTAATCGTTCAAATTAGTTAGTAAACGTTCAATAGCGTCCAATCATAAAAAGACCTGCTTCTAGCAACAATTGATTTATTTAGTCTATCATACACATTTACATGTTAGAGGAGTTTATTTATAGCAAACTCCAAACTTAGAACAAGCTTTCAAAACAAATACTATCCTTTAAAGTATGGTGCGATGTTTTAGATAACTACTATTTGCTAACAGGTTCTGCAGAAAGTTACCAAGAAATTATTCATAATTCTCCATTCAGAGCGTTTGCACTTTACAACGTTTAGAAGCTCAAAAAAATGAATCTTTTTTGCCACAGATAATGCTGGACTGCGATTATGGTGAAAGTGGCATGAGAAGACTAAAGGGCTAATCCTACACTTCAGCTGATAGTTGCTAATTAAATTGTGATATCAATGACATCTTACTGAAGTGTGTATTGCAAAATCATCTCACATTGAATTACACCAAAAATCGAAGCAAAGGTCCGTACATATCTCTAGCGAATTCAGTCGCGACGCGACTTGGCAATACTCCAGTTGCTTATAATTCGTCGCAAACTCACAATCAGTCTGAGCACCGGAAAATAGCATATTTTGTCGACTCACAAAAGTTGTTTTATTTCCTCTGGGAGTGCCGCCCCCAGGAAGCAGTCCTTCCGAAACCTTTAGGTAACCTTCCCTCTGGTATAGGATGGGGCCCTTCTATATCTTAGATCTAGGCTCAAAAACAAAACAAAAGCACAAAGTTCTTCCAACCTTTACTTTCAGGGTATAACTTTCTACAAGCGTAAGGTATCCGGCACATACAACCTACTGAACTTTGGAAATTGTAATAAGGGCAAAAGTTGTAAACCGCTATGCAGTACTTGCAAAATTATGGATCATAATAATTACATATACTCATATATTACAAACTTTAAACTAAACACTTACAAACACACCCATAGTAATTGCTTATCTAAAAACGTAGTTTATTGCCTAACATGTGGAGATTGTGGTCTTCAGTACGTAGGATTAACTAGCAGAAAACTCAGAGAAAGAATTCAAGAGCACATTAGAGGTATTATCAAAAAAGACGAAAGAAAAATTCTGTATAAGCACTATTCCAACAACGTTTGTAAATTAGAGAATCTAAAAGTTTCCATTTTGGATAATTTACCCGATAACAGTGACAAAGAGATACTCAGAAACAAAGAGCTTTTCTGGATAAAATTGTTAATGACACCATACCCGTTCGGATTCAATGATAATATCAAAGGCTATGGAAACCTAAGCCTCATAAAAAATCCACTCACACATGGAAAATCCCACCCATTTTTCAGTCTAAAAATAATCAAAGAAAGAAACAACAGAGGAAAACATAGGCATAAGAAGAAAAACAAAGCAGATAGTAACACAATAGCGAAAGATATTGAAAATCTATTTGAGACTACAACGAAACCTTATGAAATTTTTAGATTTCTAAAATGTAAACCCAATACTTACGTCAGTAGCTTGATATATCTGATTACAAACGCACCCGACCATATTCATATTACAAATAATGAAAAATTGATTTTGTATAGTACACTATGCTATTATCATTTTCCAAAAAAAGAAAATAAAAACCAGCACGAAAATAAAAAAGTAGTAAACATCAAAATTCCTTTCCACAATTCTATTCTCAATAACATCAATTTAAATAAGATTTTCAATAACCATAATATAGTAAATATAATAAACAATAGCAAACAAGAATATAGAAAGGTTAGAATCATTTATACCTATGATAGCCCTGTTTCCAAAAAAGTTTTTAACTACAACAAATTTTTAAGAGACACTTATACGCAAGACATAAGTTCTATTCCTTGTATCTGTAACCAGTATCCCGATTTCATTTGCGCAACATATAACCATGTTGTAACAGGAAATACCAAAATATTTGAAAATTTGCAAATATACAACATACTAAATAAAGGAACGAAATTCAGACTTCCAAGTAATCTCAAACCTGGACACATCAAACAACTATGGACCGAAATAATTGAAAATTTTTTGGAAAAGATTAAAAAATTGTATCGGGTCAACTATCAAAGCGCTAATCAGATTAGACATATCGTATATTCCTCATTTCAAAAAATTTT